GTTGACACAGGCGTTCTCTATTCGCCAGTGCTTTTCTGTAAATGAAATGTGGAATGTACTTCAGATCCGGTGTTGCGATAGGCATCAACTAGCCACAAATGAGAAGAGTAAGTAGGTAAAGTATTTCGGGGCAGCCTATTTGTAGTGGCCAAACAATATACACTGATGTATCATCCCTAATACATCGGTCACTCTTTAAATAATTATGGTAAGCAATTGCACAGTAACCATGTTGACCACTTACTTGTGACTGTGAAGCGAATTGACGAGGAAATGATTTAGTGTAAAATCTGACTTCGCACTTATAACATGGAAACCCTCAGTCGCCCTTTTCTCCTTGTTGCAGGCGCTTCTCGGAAAACGGTCGTATTTCAATGCAAACCAATCCAGACCGAAATATCTTCCCTAAATTATGCCAGTGATGTGATACGAATGAAAGAAGCGCAATTCACTCCATGCCAACAAAATAATTGATAACTTTGCCCTCAGTAACTCAGTATAACTAAAGGCATTATTGAGCTGTCTTTATCAATAATTTGTGTGCTAAGGTGCTACGTAGATCGGGTGGTTAGCGCATACTCATATCGTGTAAAAATGAACCAAACCTCGTGAAAACAATCATAGGATTTGTATTGTAACCACAGAAAATAACAGCAAAGTTTTTCACCAGCAATCATAGGCGTGTGATGAGGTCATGTGATTGAGTTTGAAGGTGATGCGGACAACACAGACAACCAAGTCTAGCAGCATGTGCAGAAATTAAAATGGATAGCCAGTCAAACCACCAAACGATGATCGGAAAACGGTCTATCCGGTTACTACATGTTCCACAAGCGGAGGGTTTTTGAGCACGTGTCACCAATGTACGGTTCACAGAATATTGGTTTCATATCAGAATTGTCATTGGACACTGATTGACAAATCAGCTCACGCACGTTTCGATGCATGGTGGAATGGATGAAGTGCTATTGCTATCAACCTCAACTGTGATAACGCCGGTATTTGGATTCACTCATTGTTGTCACACACGTCTGAGCGCAATCCATATCATCATCAGTCGCTCGATGACGTATTGCTCTGTGAGGTTCTATGTATTAAGTAATTACCAATCTCCAAAGTATACAACGCATGTGGCTTTTTTGAAGTAACACAAAACCTCCATTTTTGCAACCACTGTTGCTGAAGTACCGCCAATTTTGTTTTTTTTTAGTATTACAATTTTGCTGGAACCTATCAGAGATAAAATGAATACTGTGATTGTCATCTTGCTTACCAAGATTTCAATCAAGAACCACAAGCGAATAAGAACTTAATCGATCAAATCAGCTACTCAGCTACTCATAATTCAATAATTCGATTCAAATAACGGTACTTCAAAACACATCACAGTAACTTCTGCCTCCAAATCAATATATTATCCTGGCGAAAAAGAAGTAAAAGCGCAAGTCAAATGTTTCTATGAATTTCGCTCGGATCGTTTGTGCTCAAACGCTCAAAATTTTCACAATTTCACCTAGTAATGTACGACAGGTTTGACCATATAACTTCAATTGGCCTAGGTAGTGATTGGGTGCGATACATCAAACGAGATACGGTGCTGTTCGAACATAATTCGTAGAGTTCCTGAGTGTTTGTTGAAACCGCACCAAATGGTAACGCGCATCAGCGTGAAACATGCATGGTCCTCATGTACGACTGTACCGCATACAGACAATTTTCTGTTGGGGAATGTGAATTTCGATACAGGAATTCCATACATAACAAATTAGCTAAGATCAAACTTCAATCGATTGTTTGCAACCGGTTATCCCTGTTCAGAAATGGAATTGAGTGTATATCGAGTACAGTCTATAAGTGACACTGAGAGTCTCCTGCGTCAAACATGATCAGCATAGTAAATATCGTGTTTTACGGTTACTTTTTTCCCCTTAAAATAAAATTGACTGATGATCATTTATATGCGTTACCAGTAATACACAGTAAATCTCTTCCACCGAAGTAACTTTGTCAGAAACAACGAACATGGATTTTCAGAACACCGGCTCTCTATATACCATCAGGTCTATCCAATTCATTGAATCCCGATGAAATTTTCATGGTGCTTATGGTGTCTCACAAAAAAATGATTAGTAGGAGGTGACGGACTTGAGAACCTGTACAGAGCATAACATTTGATAAGTTATAGAAAAGTTAGGTGAAGGCCACAAATGCATGCTGCCAAACATATGGCCTGTTTCTCACCCTTCTGAGTGTGATATTGCAATTTTCAGAACTGTAGAGTTTTAGCCGGTTTCAACGAAATGGCGACTACTGAATCATGAATGGAATAACAATTTGATTTGGTGATTGCACTGTCAGAATAAAAAACATCAGGTTTCAAATTAAGTAACTCAGACATATCACACATGGTGTTTAGGCCGAGTGCGGAAGCAATTAGCGATTAATTTTGAGCTTTCTATTGCTTCAAGAGATTTCGGAATGCTGGATGAACAACAGTAGGGAGCGAACATATCAAACCACGGAACCGAGTGGAAAACAGATGTAATAGCAAATACTCTCAAAATGAAAAAATCAAGAATAGTCATGATTGAACAGTTACAAAGTAAAATTCATAATCAGCACATGGAATACGATGAAAGTGAAGAGAAGAGCGTTTGTCATATACCAGTCACTAGAAAACTCAGCGAGAGCATTCTGAGGGAGACCATGCGTTAATTAAAGAAGTGATCCATGTAGAACACTCATATATTGCACCTACATGTTTAAAAGTAGAAACATAATGGCGTTGTGAGCTACAGGGAAGTTACTTTACAAACGGTAAAATCACAAACACAAACAGATGGACATGCAGTAAGGGAGTTTGATGCCCATGTATAATTATGCATAAGTCATCATGGCACACTGCATGCTACTAGGTCTCTCGTTTCATTTTGGCTGCCCATTTTGATGAAAGATTACACGAAGGAATAGAACCCTCACAGCATTATCATGATGATAACCACGTTTTCTGATAAATTTGGCTTAAAGAGCGATTTAAAAAATCAAAGACACACGAATGCCATGGTGTGCAAAACACAGCTGCACTATTCAGTATTTATAATCAACGTTTGACCTGTTTCCGTGGTGTCTATCCAAACAATATCATTTTATTTACTGGATTAAGTTTTCTGTCCAAAGATTTCATTCCTTCATCTCCTCGGTGTTTCATACTGTTGTTTGCCAACTATCACATTTGCATGAAAGCCTTCCAAACGACTGATGTCATTTTCCCATGAAATACTGTATTATTAGCAAATGGACCGACATAGATCCTCGAGTCGGACTAGATTCAAAACTAAATAAGGAGTCATTCTGACAAATATCGTCTATTGTAATTCAACTGGATTTGGAATTCGCATGGGATGTATTCAGATCGTATCTGACATATGATCAAAAAAATACGCTTGCCTTAGTGCCTGGAATCTTGCTATTTTGAAGGTTGGAAAAAAGTATTATTTCAACGTATAATATTATTACATCAATCGATCTCATATCATCCGCATCGTGGACGCACACCAACAATGGGAATAATGAAACCACATTATGATAACACATCTCACCATTGAGTATTGCAATGGAAATATACGTCAGTGGATAGTATAATACCAAATCTGCTATCGAAGGTGGTTATGAATGTAACCAACAGAGACATTTTCTTAGTCCATGGGGTGCATTTTCATCCAAGAATAGAGATTATTGTGGATATAATGTATAGCGTAACGTTATACTCACGACCGTTAGGTCAACGAACGGTGGCACGAAACGTTTATCACAGTGCCTTAAACCGTCTTGATTGGGAATATAGGAAACTGATCCATTAAACCGACTGCAATATTCATGGTAAAATTCGTCACACAAACAGAAACCCCGAAGAACGTGATATATTTCTGTTTTTGTTGACCACAAATGATTCCATACAGATGTTGTTCCAACCTCACAGTTACTTTAATCAGCCATGTATGTAAGCAATCTCGAAATCTGTTTTATTCTTCTGAAAGAAACAGATGACATTGCTTGAAAGATGTATCTTGCTTTACCGGAATCGAAGTGCAATCAATCCGTCTGTTAGGAAATTTCAATCAGCAAGCTGTACATTATGAACAGCAAAATATTTCTAGCATAGACCATTGTTTCGACTAATTGATGTTCTTATGTTTCATTCAGTTATGTCATCAGTGGTCGTCGAATGCAAAACAACAAAGCCATCAGCTATTTTGATTCATAGAATGTAGCCGGGATTGTTTAGACACCCCTGCGAATACGTCAGTATACGCCATGCTAAGCAACGTCAATTGCAACAACATGGAAGCACAGAACCTTTCACAAGGATACAGAACTTTGTACTAATGCAATGTGGCTCGTTCTACTATTTGGTTTCTACGTTCACGGGCGTTCGTGTTTGGCAAAATATTTTGAAGTTATACATACATTTCACACCAACGAGCACGTTTCGAAAAATCACGTGACTGTATCAATAAGACTACTATATTTACACTTTTTGACACGTTCTTCCGACAAATCACAATATAAAAGCGCAAACGTGCTCAGATGAGCCAGTCAACCGGAAACAATGAATTCAATCACTCGAAGCGTTCTAATCCTGATCGTCTGCATTTGTGGATTGGTCGGTAAGATTTCATGCTCCTACTTTATGAAACTCAATCATGTCCAGTGAGTCAATCCACACAGTGCACGCACAACTACACTGCTTCGACGGACGAGAAAAGTTTCACCGTCAATACGGCAACATCAGGTTGTCAGGGGCTCGGTCAACCGGCCGACGGTAAGAATGTGGACGTCTTCTTGAAACCTGAATCGGTGAGTTGACAGTATTGGATGCGAGGCAAATAGATAAATGTTGATTCACGCGGTACATTTGAGTGATCAGATTTGAATTTTGTCTTGGTCACTTTCTAGAGTGGTGAGAGCAAATGTGTGCAAGTTAAAAGTGGATCAAACTCTCAAACCATATGTGCCACGGCGACCGGGAATTCCTTCTCGTCATCGACTGCAGTTGAGGTCAGTGCAGTGTCATCAACTACAGCATCATCAACCACTGAGGGGTCAACCACCACGTCGTCATCTACGGCATCGACAACCACAGCCTCGACAACGACATCATCAGAGGCGCAGGCAGCCCCGGGGGTGCGCTCTAAACGAGATGCCACATCAGCGCCTAAGACTGCACAAACCATCACCGTATACTACAAATCGCGTAAGCTCCTAATTACGTATTATTTGATAATACCTTATAGGAATATTCGCAAACATTTGACGTCTTCATTCATTGTTCATTAATGTAAATTGACAAATTCAAACAAACACTTCATTCCGGGTCTATTCATGTATCTTTTCCATCACCTCTTGCTTTGTCAACACAAAACAAAATCAGATGGCGTCAGTCAACGCGCACTCTCTGTCTTAGTGGGAATCGGATCAATCCTGTACCTTATCCGAACCAGCCTGTGGTGAGTACATGTATTGAAACTTTCATTCATTCATAATATCGGCTTGTGAACGACAGACGCATTTAAGTTTATAAGTTCAGCCTCAACAATGCATTGATTCAATAGTTTGATCCATTTATTGTAACTGACTGCGCCTTCCTTGTTTCCGTATTTGAACATGGATTGATTCAATTTGACTTGACTGCGTAAACAAATGCTATCAAAAATAAAGTGGATACTACTTTTCCCATTTGTATTTCTAATATTCATCCTCTTTCAGAAATGCACCCGATTGGTTACAGAATGTCAGTCCAATGGTAAACAGATAATTGATCCTTTTCCCACCCCGTTCAGTTTGTTACTAGGCCAAGTTTAACATTCATCCTAAATAGATTGTATATACTTGCTGACCGTTGTTTTCTCATTTAGGCTGAACCGATACACGATGACAAAATAATCCAGTTTATGTTTTTTGATAACAGAGCCGTTTTGAAATTTTAGTGATATTCATTCAATCATGTTCAAGTATCTAGATACACATGAGTGTTCTTTTCTTATTCGGAAGCGAAATTCTGAACTGTGGTACCGGGGGAAAATCGTCACATGTGAGATACAGCACGAGCATACATGAAAAAACTGAACCACAAGAAATACGCTCGTCGTTACGAAAAATCGGCGCGTACTTCACATATTGCCACTTGCAAATTAATGGAACAAATTTTCAGCTTACTGGTTTAGATTGATAGAGATAGAAAAGAACATAGCCTTGCATCAAATTGCCGAGGAATTATCAAATATGGCTGCGTCTTGGTTGCGCTTTATGAAGCCAACCGATTAGCTACCACCAGAACTGGTCGTTTTACAAGTTCGCAAAGTTTTTGGTGTAAGAAACCCCAAGAATTATGTAGGATTGGGCTGGAGTCATGAGGAACATCCATTATGGTGGATTATATGTCATGTCATACTGAATATTCCCTTTCTGCCTTACACGGTTGATATATATGGTTATGTATTCCAAGTGAATAGGAAAATGAAGGTTAGCGCAATCGTTTAACGCATACAGTACGCACGTGATTAGGAGAAATTACATTCAAAACAAGTATCATGATAATGTGGGAAGGGTTTTCTCCAAAAGGAGACATTTTCATTGGCTCGTTTGCGACATCGGCTCATTCTATTCTTTGGCACGAGCAAAGAAGAATACAACAGTAAAGCTACCATTTTATGGATAGGATTTTGAGTGGAATTCTTGACACTTTCGTTATTGCTTTCCAAATAATTCCAGGGCACGAAGGCACGAGATCATCAGTAATTTCTTTGTAAAGTCTCTAAGGCGTTTGGGTTTATCTGTTTACGAGGACTCTTTGTTCGGCATTATGTTGTGATATTGAGAAAACAGCATTTCTTTGAGAGCTAACAAGTTTATTGATTGCTTTTCGAAAGTCATCCCATGTCATGCTACTGCACCCGTACAGGCGAATGCAGCACTAAAGGTATCATTTTCTGTAGCGAACAATTACAGTTGGAAATACTGCATACATAGAAATTTTCGATAATAAATCAAATCCAGTGAGCATATTCGCCTTCGTATCCAAAAATGATTATTCAGTAACTAGCTGATCAGGGATGACAAGTTCTATGAGAATCCGCGAGATGTTTATAAACAGTGTAGGAGATCATGTGAATAAATACTGCCAGCCCAAATACTTGTTGGACGTTGTTGTTGGATGTTGGACGAAGATCATTCTACCGTCGGAGACGAGGACTATGGAGACATCAGGTACACAAGGACGTTGTCAATACCAGAATCCCATATTGTTGGTCCAGATGATGTCGAACAGAACCTGCCGAAGGGTTTATCTATGGAAATAAGTTGAGGGCAAATAGTATCCATGGTATACGCAAGCTATTTCGCCAGGTCATCAATGGTGAGATAGTCCTTCAACACATGGGTTACGCCTCTATTCTTTGCAAACCGACATTCGCCAAGGAAGTTATACGGCGTATTCATGAGCACAGACCAACATGATGAAGTCTCTCTCTCGCTAGAAGATGAACGGGTCGTCAGAGTAGTTCGCGAATCTATGACACTCGTTAAAGGGCACCATCAACTAAAATTACACTGGCGGCGAGATTGGACTGACTTACCAGACAATCGACAGTTGGTTGAGAGAAGACTATACTACCCAAGAGGCCGTTTTCCAGAGAAAGCCTGAACTTTTAGACAGGTACAGCGAAGCTATGGAGGTTCACAAATAAAAGGGATAAATCAAACAAGTCCCCAAGAAAGAATTCAGTGAACGGCAATTCGTCCCATATCACACCGCCGAAAATCCACACAAGCCGGGAAAGATCACGATTGTATTTGATTTCGCGGTAAAATGCGGTGGTTCGTCCATTATTGATTGCCTGTTCTGCAGTTAAATTCTAACGAATGGTCTCACTAGATTGCTGGTACGATTTCGTCTCCACAAGATGACACATTGGCAGACATCGTGGGGATTTTCACACAGGTTCGGCGGGCAGCAGAGGATCGAACCTCGATGAGCTTACTTTGGGTTTTCTTCAGCAGATATGGATTCGCCACCACAAATCTACCAACTCCAAGTACATCCCTTTTGGAGCCACGTGTTCTCCATTGTGCGCGTGGTACACATTGAGGAAACTGGCTAGCGATCAAGCCGAAGGTTTTGACGACACCACGACAGGAACTGTGAAGGAGAACTTCTACGTGGATGACTGTTTGATCTCCGTGGATTCTGATGAGATTATTGTACGGCTAGTGAACCCTCTGCGTACTCTTTCTTAGTGAAAGGATTGAAGGGCACTGATAGGCATGTGCGTGAGTTTGAATTACGAAATGTGAACCAAGTAAAAAGGAGGGAATCGAACCCGGGTCATCCACGTGGCAGGCTAATTTTCAATTTAACATCTATACAATGATCAGGTTCACAACGTCAGATAACAGAATGCAATTTTAGAACAATAGTGTAAAATTAGCATGGGCACACGTTTTCTGGAACTCACACGATTTTCCAAGTGCATTTACAGTTTATTTCGATTCATGCATCACACTAATGCTAGTACGCTTTTAGGCGTTTACTTTATGTTCACCATTTGTTTTTCTTTCAAACTTGAAAAAGGGAGGTGTTCACTTCACGACCGCGGCATAATATGAACGAGGCATTGGTAATGTTGCGATTCAACCGAAGCTATTCAACACAATCTCGCATCGCTAAAACACAGTGAACTGAACTCTCTCACTTTACAACCGGCCTTATCTTGTTCAGGATGGATACAAACCCGTTTTGACAGTAGAAGAATACAAGTGTTGCGAATTGTTGCGGACAGAACACAGCAGTAGTTGGTTTGGTACACGCGTGACAAGCGTCCGTCGATACGGACAAAATTCTCCAATCAGGACAATATCTCCGATTATTGAGATTAGTGCATTCCTTATTGTACTAACGAGAATAGAGCAATCTAAACTAAGTGATCATTGATTAGGATATGTTCAGATTTCCGCGACGAAATTCTATGTTTGCATGTTCTACGCATCGATATTTATCCTCGGACAATGTCGATCTAACATGAAAAGTATTCCAATTGACGCAGCGTTCACGTATCTATGATTGGTTTCCATGAATTTCTTAGAGACCCGGGTTTGACAGACGAGTATTATATTCTCAAGAGCACCGAATGTTGCTTCTTGATTTCGCCCATTGATAATATGGTGATCATAATAATGCTGGATTGATACACATGCACTGACGGATATATGCGTCTTTTCGACGACCGCGTCTAAAAATGTAAGTCAAACTATTTCAATCCGAAGGACAACAATAATTATGTTTCGAAACCAGATCAAGCGGTAACGTAGACTGCATGAGTTGTAAATACTACTAACTGGCATTCAACTTTGTTCGTTCTGGTTGATGTCCTCCCGCTGCCTGTTTGTATAAAGAGTGATGGGGATATTTTATTGTCCCATGCAGACCCTGAGTTCTTGAGTATTTACGAAAACACTTCAATTGAATTGGCTTTGAATACCATTATGAAAGATTTCAGTTCGACCGTATTTAGTTGCTTTATTTAAACATACAATTTTTAAAACTTTATCTGCAACACACATTAATACTTACGCTTCGTGGTGATGACTGTTTTATTATTGTATTTGGATGAATTACCCACCAAACTTGCTTCCTCCGACGATGAACACAGTGTTACCTAAAGTAGAATCACAGACAGTCTTGCAGTCAACAGTTTGCCTCGGAAATCATTCACGAATTTGATCGTAATTCATGTACCCCACTTTTGAGCGACTTAGAAATTTCATGGCATCATCCAATGGAATGTTTGACTTTGTGCATCCACATGCAACCGGAGGGCTGAAACAAGATGAATGAAGGAAGACCCTGGTAGCCTCGATGCAAACCGCGTGCGCCACGCGTTCATATGTCAACTGACTTGAAGTGAAACTAATGCACCTTTTACGGTTTGAAAGAAATATTAGTAAAGGCAATAAAAGTTCTAATTTTGTTCATTTTCTATCACAAAAAGCAGTGCAAAAACCACGAGTAAATACAGAATGCCCGTATAAATTACTAGCGCACCTCTATGCAGTGACCAGAGACGACTGGAAGAACAATGTGTCTATAAAGATTAATTGAATCTATATCCTCACCCGAGCTACCCAGTTTCTTTCCGTCAATAAGTATCCGTTTCATTGATCGAGTACCCTTTGTTCA